ACCCAGGCCCAACCAAAAAGGAAACAAAAGATTACACAACAAAGCTAAAATTCAATTTTTGTAAACGACCTCGGATGGAGAAACTTCCCAAACGAAAAGTGTAGATCTCGAAAAATTATGAAACTTTGTAGCTTACCACTTTCTGATTTGAATTCGTTTAGGACCTCAATTACACTCGGTTTAGTATAATATGTGGGGAACCAAAACAGAATCTAGACAAAAGTGATGTTGTGGTGTAGTGGTAGAGGCGGGCACGTGCGAGAGGGAGGTCGCGGATTCGAATCCCGCCTGCTATGTGGCGTGCGAATTTTCAGCAAAAAATGCCACGACGTGTGACTTCGACGGGGCCGGTGGGGGCCTCCCCCGATTTAAAAAGTCTTTTGCTATTTTTGTCGGGTATTTTTTGTTTCAAATCTTGCCGAGTGTTTTTGTTTGCCTAGAGCCCGACGGAAAACACTCGACAAGAGCTCTTTGCCGTCTAAATCTTTGGCGAGTGCTCTATGCCGAGTGTGGCACTCGGCAAAGCCTTTGATGAGTGTCTTTTGGGCTTTGCCGAGTGCCTTTGGCACTTGGCAAAGCCACTGTTTCCAGTAGTGTATATGGTTGAATACTGACTGACTATATCGAGAAGTTGAGAAAAGGATAGCCGTGTGTCACAGGCACATGCACGCTGCCGCTGTCAACGGCCGGGCGTGGGCGCGGCAGGTTGCACTCTGAGTTCTCCCCATCCCGTCTCGTGCGCGCACACGACATGGGAGAGAAGCCTCTGGAACATCTTCGTCTCTCGAGTTCATTTGCACGGGTAAAGGGCGGCAATCATGTTTTTGGAGAGTTGTCGTCTTCCGACGCGACTACTCTGCTTCTTCTCAGCTTCGTTGTCTTCTTCTTGGTGACCATCCCGTTGGGTATGATCCAATTCTCCATCATCCTTTAAGATCATGTGTTTACATGATGTTTGTGCTTAGTCCTCGTAAGCACATTGTTGATTTCAGCCAGCCACTTAGCACCCTAGCCGGCCGAAATACAAATCAGAGACTCGGTGTTGAGCAATAATGGGGACGAAATCACTTTTTCATTCTCCCTGGGTCTCCAGGGTCCGATCTCTCTTTTACAATGACCCAAGGGGGCCTTTTATACACGCCCAAAGGGGCCTTCATATCTAAAATGCCCCTCTACCTAACGCTTATCCCTAGAATATTCCCCGTCGCCGAGGGCAATCTCTGGGCTTGGTCCCCGCGGAGCCAGCGTGGAGAGGTCCCATCAGGCAGACTCCTGGCCTCGCTTACTAGTGGTCCCCTTGACGCTCCTTTCGGGCCCTGCGCACCTGGAACACGAAATGTTAAATGTTCCCTTTCGGAAAGGGGATTTGGCCAGAACCGAATCCCCATCTTACCTAACTTACTTAAAAGACCGACCGAACATATGTTTGGCCCGGCGATATAGCACCGATCCGGCTCCGCTTAACCGAACTTACTTTCACTAACCAACCGAATGTATGTTCTGCCCAGCGAAATATAGCACCGATCTGGCCCCCCCTAGCCGAATTTCACGTCTGGCCGAACATGTATTCGGTTTGGCGAAGTGGTGGAGAAATCAATCTGCCCGGCTGAATATTCTTCGGTGCAACTATTTGTCGTAACTTCCTGTTCGGCGTGGACTAGGAGGGAGGAGTTTTTCGTCAGCCACGATTAACCGAACATATATTCGATCACGCGAGAAGCCTTGTAACTTTCTTCTGAGATTGATCACGGCTTTTCTAGGGTGACAGGGTGCCAAGCCCCTGGTCCGCCCCCAACACACATATATGATGTCACCAATAATGCTATTATGATGTTTTTCTAGATTAAATTAAATTTGAATTTGCCTAAATTTCTAATACAATATACTTGCTGAACAAATTCATGTCGGTTCCTGTCCATCGGATGGTAGGTATACAAGTGCTTTGCACGCTATTAGAGTATGTCTGTGCCATCTTGTATTATTCATTATTCATTATTCATTATTCAAAGAATATAATGTTGTGAAAAAAAAGAATATAAGCTCAAACGGACCTACAATCTAACCTTCTCCATCTACCTCTGAACTTCACATGATACGCAGAAGATCATTATTCACAATACTGTCGACCAAACAAAAACACGTCCCGAACCCGAAGTACTTTCAGCAGCACAACTCTGTACAATTACAGGAGAATTATACATCTGCTTTCACTCGTGGTTAGGCCATGGCATCCGATTCCGATAGCGCCTCCGCCGCTTCCTCGCCCCAATCGCCGATCTAGTCTAGAACTAGAAGAACCCCCGTTGATTTCAAGATGGAGCGGACAGGTTAGGGCACCGCACGATGATCGTGTTTCCTGAGGATTGCGACCGAGATCTCAAGAGGAAGGAGATGATGGCGTCGTCAGAGTCGGGTGACGGCGCCCTCAACAAGGAGCGTGATAGCTTGCTCAAGGAGGGTGAAATTCTGAAGCTGCGGAAGGAGTTCTGGGAGGAGGAGGAGCTGTGGAAGGATGGCCTTGTCCCAGGGGCGCTGGATCGCTGGCTGGAGAGCGAGAGCAAGAACAAGACCACGCAGGTGCCCCAAAAAAAGAGGAAGGTGGTCAGGATAGCTGTGCCCGATGCTTACATCCATTTCATCATGGAAAATCCCACCTTGATGAGATGGCCGAATGTCCCGAGGATCAACGCCAGATGTATGCCATTCAGAAGCTCATCAATGCTAAGAACCGCGCGTATCAGAAAGCCCTCATTGATCAGTACAAGACTTTTGGCTTTGCCTATGACGAAAAGGAGGTCACAGATGATGACTGACGAAAAGGAGAAGAACTAGGCAGAGGAAGCGAAGGGGTGGTTCACTAATAATCTAATAAATCTACCAGCAGCATCTGATTAATAACCTGTCCAAGATCAAAGCTACCCCAAGTAGTAGTAGCATCCGTGTCGTGTCTTTGTGTGATCCATCCACCTATATTTATCCTCATTACTATGTTGTTCATCATCCTTGTGTTATTTGCTGCTCCCTCCGTCCCAAATTATAAGTCATTCCAAAAATCTTGGAAAGTCAAAGTTTTTGAAGTTTTAAAATAACTTATGGCATCGTCGGCAAGTCTCAACAACATTTAGCTTTACCATAGAGGGAACTTTAGGCTCAATGTACGTCCTGATGGCCAAGAGCCCTCGTTGAGCTTCCTTTAGAACATGAATGGGCAATGGACTTAGTAGAACTCTGATGGGTCTCCAATGTAAGGCATTCAAGTGATGTCATGCCCTCAACAATATGGCATGTTAGCTCAACAAGACTCTTTGCTGACGAGAATCCTTGGATCTTCACTGTCTTCATCTTGTGGTGCTGCTGTCCTTGCATCTTCCTCAGCTCTGAGGGATCTGCGAATATGGAGACGTGTTCCATTTCATACTGGGATACCTATAACAGATAAGATGAAAAAGGGAAAAAAAAAGTTTTAGTCATGGTTCTGCAGTGTTAGCTACTTGTTACCATAGAAATATGAACGGCAACTTACATCCAAGACCAAAGTTTCCAAGGAAGGGCAACCATCAAAAAAGGAAACAAGAGAGAAATAATCGTAGGCCGGAGGAAAGGTTGCAGCGAAAAGTAAAATAGTAAGGCTTTTGAGGTGGAGATATTTGCTATGCAGCAATGGTCTATTGATGATCTGCAAAAAAGATGAACAGGCTAGTTATACTCCAAGGCATATGACTGCTGTAAATATATGGAATCAAAATATGAATATTGCTGGTCCAGCCAAGACGAGTATACCTCTCTTCTCGAAGATATAGTGGCAGCTTTAAGGTTTGGCATGCTGGAGGGAAGTTCAACACAAACGTAACGAACTGCGCCAGAGAAGGACAAACTTAGCTCCTTCATTTGCAATGCTTCTCCGAGTGACAGTTGAGTGCGGTATCCTTCGTAGTCAAAGCTGAAAATATTTGGAGCTTTGCTTTCTATCATTTCCAGCTTCCAACAACCTAAAACCTCTAGGTACCTTAGGCGCTGCAGCGTGCAAGGGATCTTCAAGCGACCTATCCCATCACAATACCGGATTCCCAACACCTCCAAGGCAAAAGAATTGGAGAGAAGGCACCCTAACTCATCCCCAGTAAAACTGACATGATAAAGATGCAGTTTTGTCAGGCTTCTTAAACAACCAAGCTCAGATGTGGGACGGAAGGAGCAACCAGTAAATTTTAGGTATCGGATTGAGTCTCCACTCCCATTAGAAAAGAGCGAGCATGGGAAACTGTATTTTGCTATCATTGGCATTAAAAGTGAAAGTTCTTCGATTCCTGATTTAACAGCAACCTGGAGCCAACTGTCGAGATAACCATTGTAACCTTCACACATCTGAATGTTGAGTTTCTTGACACCAATGCCTGAGTGCCTTTTCAGAATCTGGTCAACTTTGCTACAGAAATATCTCTTCTTATTCAATCTCAGCGTCCTGGGACTGAAAGTGAGGTTGGGATGGCATCTCCAGGAACATAGAAAAGCTCGAGACACACAGGCAGCTCGAGCAGCAGATCGCATTGGCATTAGGGAATGTATATAACACCAGATGTCCTGGACGCATGTTACAAAAGCATGGAATAGAAAATTCAGCATTAGAAACATAAATGCAAATGGTTCCTCTAGATGGAGGGGAAAAGAACTGAAGAAAACTATGACACTGTAACCCAGGTGCTACGCGCATTGTTGCACAATGGGGTTTCAGTAGATGCTTAAAAAACAAAATCAGCGGCCAGAGGTGATTAGATACTTCGAAATCTATTCATACCTCTTTACTTACAAAAATATGCATGCATGTATGGACAGTGAGGTCCATACATGCTTCAAAATCAGGGCAGATTGGACACAACAAACATGCATGTATGGAATTATGGACAGCGTATGTATCATCAAACTACAAATAGAGCATCTGAATTTAAAACAACAGGAGGACCATGCAATTGTGTTGTATCGATCAACTTCGTCAGCCGCAGTGCAAGAGATATGATATAAACCTTAGTCACTGAAGTGATAGGATAATATACTGAACAGGACAGATAAAAGAATGCTATCCTACAAGGGTATGCACTATGCAGGTCTAAATCACAAGTAATTGCCTGTAATGGTACACATCAAGGGAAACGGTACTAAATGAAGCTGCCTTCAGAGACATGTCAAGAAAGGCAATCATTTTATTAGATCATACTCCCACCATTCCAAATTCTAAGACATTTTAGCTTTTCTAGATAGATACATAGCTTTATCTAAAAAAGCCAAAACGTCTTGTAGTTCGGAACGGATGGAGTAGATTCTAAGGAATTTAAAATCTGTTGATGGTAGGTTGAGAGGCTCCAAGTCCAAGAAATTCCAGGTTTTATACAGTGGAGGCCAGAAGAAGGTTTCAGCATGCTTAGGAGCAAAACACTAGCTGTTCTTAAAAGCTAATTATGCACAGTTGGAAAAACGCAAGGTTTTGGGAGCCATTGTGACACATGGTTTACTGACATTTCAGTAGCACTAAGCCTATCATTAACAATGGCGTACCTCTGGAAGGCTCGGTATCTGTATTTCAACTCCCTGAGAATCAGCATCTTGCTGGCAGGGTGAGCCCTTCTTATTATCTCGTGATGAAGCAACCAACCCATCTGCAGCACAGCAAACATGGTTATGAATAATTCAGAAATTTGCCCGGCGCAAAACAACCAATGCACTAAGATGAATCCTTTTTGTACTCTTGTCAAACTTTTGTTCGATAATAACAGTAACACAACAGCTTGTCAAAACAGAGCATGCAGGGTTTTTTTTTCTTTTTTTCTTTTCCCCAGAGCGTGCATGGTATAGTAGCCTCTCCTCTGGTTTTGTCAATCTGGTGGAAGCCAAATGAGCAATACAGTGCAGGCCGTCGTCAGCCACTGCGTTCAGTATCAGGCTCTCATCTCCAATCTTTACTTATACATGTATAAAAGAAAAGTAACGAATTCAATTGGATGCACTACTGTATGTAGTAGCAATATTTTAACAAAGAGAATCTCCTATGCTCACAATTTTTGTTTCTGCAAACAGATTCACATCGGAACTAGTACAGATGGGTGGAGAAAAAGTTTTCATCAACCAGATTATAACAAGAAGAAAAAGCAAAGCAGAGGAAGGGAAGTCGGCGGCTTACGGGTGGTCTGCGCTCGCCGCCGACGGCTGTCCGGCTGCGGCTCCATGGAATACAATCACGGCAGTAGTATCCCTTCCTCCCCTCCTGTGGAATGTGGAATATAATCTCGGGCCCGCCTTAAGGCGGAATCGAATCGGTCTCTTCATCTCTGCCTGCCTTGAATTGAATCCTCTCCCTAGTGGATAGGACTAACCCAACAAATAGTTTGACTAGGGCAGCTCCAATGTGTAATAATCTTTTTAAGCAAGGGCTGGAGTTCGGTTCGATTTTGTACCCCCTCCATATAAAATAAAAATAAATTATAATTCTAGATTTACAAGTCAAACTTTAAGAAAGGGATGGAGTTCGGTTCGTGTGTTAGTTCATACACAGTCGTACATTTTATCATTGTCGTGGTACAACAAGAATTTTTTTATAAATAATATTTTTTAATAATTAATTGTAAATCTAGCGACTGTTATATAAAAATTTAAGATACAGCATACCTGTCCGTCGGCAACGATAGGGCCGAAAGGCCCTACGTGGAAGGGACTTGTCGGCCGCTGAACTATAAGTTTTTTTTTATAACAAATGCTACATTTGCAATTAATTATTAAAATATATTATTTAAAAAATTCTTAAACTATCGTGGTCACGGCTTTGGTTCGACTGTCAAACACCTCAGTGACTTTTTGTGTGCTCTCGTTGCAATGCGCGAACAATCACCTGGTCATTAATAACAAACAGAAGACAAACATCAGGGATTCGGATTCATCCCCTCTCAAAATCGATCAACCTGAGCCCAGATCTCAGACAAAGGCGCAGCACCATACGTCCATACACGCTCTCTCTGGACGGGAACTTTCAGCAATACGTGCAATATACTTTCTGAACAAATTTATCTGTACCTGTACTGTTCCCGTTCAAAAGTTTTGCATGCTATTGCAGTATGATATATAACAATCTGACCTATATTATTCAAAGAATAAGCTCAGAAAGACCTACAATCTGACCCAAGGAAACATCCTGCCACATTCCAGGAACAACTCAGAACTTCGCATGATATATGCAAGAGATCATTATTCACAAACTTCTGTCAACCAGACAAAAACACGTCCCAAAACACTTTGAGCAGAACAACTCTGTACAGCCGGCAGCAACCAGTCTACGATTACAGGGAGGACACGCATCTCGTCTCACTATCTCCGGCCAGCACTCAGAAACTACCAACAGCTACTTTCACTCGTCTTTCATGGCCATCTCATGCCTTCTCTTCTGTGCAACCTCGACAAGCAGAGTCAGCAGGGCTTCGCATACCTGCGACGTGTCCGCCTGATCCCCGGGCTCTTCTTTCAGCGACCAATACACCATCCACGCATGGTCTAGCTTCCGCTCCGGCCGGACTGCCACTGACCCAGGAACCTCGGCGTCCTTCCGCGTCACGAGACCGTCGCTCTTCTCGCCATACCTTGCCACCAGCAGTTGCGAGCATGCTGCCATCGCGGCTGAAAGCGGCATTACAACTGGGATCCTGGTGGAATTGCCGTCGGCAGCAATCGGGAGCTCCAGGTGTGCAACGTGAGAGAGCGCTGTGAGCACACTGGGAGTGATGCTTGCCTCTGTGTGGAATGAAACGATTGGAACATCCTGAGGCAACGGGTGCTGTCGCAGGAATTCTTTCCGCCTTTCGTAAGTCAGATCTTCTAGAGCCTGCAGATCACCCTGAAGACAAGGCAACAAATAGAGTCAAGAACGCTGTCATTCAATAGGCAAGCTGGTTATCAGTGGCTGGAATGATCAAGGCAAATACCTTAAGAACCTTGGATACTAAGATCTCCATGATCTTACGCAGCCTGACGTAGTCACCAAGCTGCCCCTCCCGTAGGATATCTGAAGCAACCGGGCTTCCTCCATATGGACTTTGGGCTAATGCTAAACCTGCGACTTTGTCTTTGAGTTGTGGCCAGTAGAGGGAGAGGGCTGCAGCCGCATCAACACCGCCCTTGCTGTGACCAAGAAGTAGCACACGTTTCCTTGATCCCCAGTATATTTCTTCTATGTATTCCTTTATCTCTCGTGCATTTTTACTCACTGAAGACTGCAAAGTGTGTTTTTTTAATGTACTGCTTTGTGAAATTAAGTATTAGGAGCAAAGTTCACGTTAATTACCTCACTATGAATTTTGGCAATATGGCAAGCTAAACCCATCTTGGAGAAATATGCCTTTGTCTTGACAAAGTAAAGCGGTCCATGGTTACTAAACAGACCTATAAACAGCCAGAAATATAATGTTATCATAAAAAGTTGGAAACTGAGAGCTCATAATAGGAGAGGTAGCTGACTAACCTGGAACCAGCAAGTAAACCACTGAATCAGGTAGCTTGTGCTCATTTTTTCTGAAGAGAAATGAAATGGTCCATATGAGATAGAGCTCATATTAAATCTATCACTAAAAGCATGTTTAGATATCATCAGCATCAAGTTCGAGTTTGGTACTTCAGCTGACCTTACAGAGTCCAAAATCTCCAAGAATCTGGCTGTCCCATCCTCAGTTGTAGGTAAGCTTTGATCCCGCTGGAGCCAGCCAATATCATCTGCTGAACCACGGACTGTTTTCCGAGCACGCTCAACAAGGCTGCACAAGATATCAGGGACATCTTAGGGGACGCTATGATATCCACTATAGTTTGATTTAGCATCCAAATTTGATAAAAAAAATATATATATAATTGCATCAGAATGGCATACAATTTCAACTCACAACATACAGTTTTACTTTTTAGTAGGGGAAAGATAGACCCACTGTGTATCAAATTTTAAGAAAGGTGCTGCACTGAGAGACACTGTGTCCAATTCTAGTAGGATTTGCATGATAGGAGAAAAACATAAAGATGCCAGAGCAATCTTGTACCCTTGGAACAGTGAAGCTCCATTCTGAAAAACTTGTGAAGGCACCATTTGTCCTGTGTTTTCTTGAGAGGGGCTTCCACCACTATCTGCCTGACCAAGGGATGAATTGGTGCCAGCAGGCTCTACTGAAGAAGTCTGAACAGAAAGCCTGCCTGAGGCTGATGCAGGTGGCAGTGTTAATAATTCTTGGTCCTCCTCAGATAGGCCTGCATTAAGATGGTAAACATGACCTAGCAGTTAAAATGGAATTATCATAAGAGTTGACATCTCTTACACAATTGAGATGAGGGAATTATTTTCCCAGAGTAATTAAACGAACTAACCCACATAACCAGGTACAGGGAGGCACTGGGTGAGGAATGAAGCTGTCTGAGCAAGATAAGATGCAGCTTGGTTTAAAGCTGGCACGGAGCGGAATAGTTGTGAATCTTCAACCCTGTCAGCTGAGTTACTATCATCAACCTGGTTTAATCAAACAACAGTTAAAGATAATAAATAGATTAGCCAAAGAGACTATAAAGTACAGCTACAATTTTTTTGCCTATATTATACCTTTACATACAAAATCATTCAATGAGATTTAGTTACGCTGTTCTTGTTACCTGATTATGTACATGTTTCAAGCATCAAAGAAATCACTAATATAAGTGGTGCGCGGTATTGTAACAATCATACCAACAAAGCCTTCAAAAATTCAACTTCCAAAATTTGGTATTCATAGGACAGCGGTGCCAAGGACAACTAGTAGACATAGTCCATGTACTAATGTCTACGTGATGCAATAGTCGAGTATACTCGAGAAAAGAGGGTCATGGTTGATTGGTTCGTCATAACATGACATGAAAATGACTATGATATATAGTAAATACAAATTAATGCAAGTCAAACAAAGTTATCACAATTCAGTGCAAAGGATAAAAAAAAAGGTAAAATTCAGAAAGTGCACACACCGCAGAAGATGTAGATGGCTCCCCCTGTGTTGGAGGCGATTCCCTCATGATTGGTGTGGTTATCCAGAGAAGAGAGTCTGCTAGCAACGCTCCCATTTGTCAGGATAACCAATGTGCAATGAACTAGGAATGAATCCCTTAAGTAAAGTAACAGGACAATATAGGAATGAATCCCCACAAGTAAAGTAGCAGGAAAATAAGGCTAGAAGGCAAGGCTATCTGGATATGGTATATAGAACTGAGAAAGAGAGACAACTGAAGAGCAAGTCATGAGACATGAGGTCCTTTTAGAGCAAAGGAAGCACAACTGCACAAGCAACAAAAAGGTGGTTACTCTTATCATCAGGAAGGATAGGCATCAAAGCATCTCCAGACTCGAATCTCCAAAGGGATAGACATTTCCAGCAGATGACTTGACATGACATCAGAAGCTAATTTCTTTTTTCTTTCTTGCTACAAGATATACAGAAAAAAAAAAACCCCCTCCAGGGATGAAATAATTGGTCATTTGCCATTGCAAATAGCCAATTCTCTCTCCAGGGATAAGCCCGTACTGCCAAGCCCAAGCCTAAGATTAATAGGTTTCTCTGGATAAAGGAAGGTGCGAATTCTTGCCCGAACCGAAGCAGCCGAACAACTGACGCGAGATGGCAATCGTGGAACCGAATCACATCAGGAGATGGGATCGAACAATCTCGACCAGAACGTGAAGGGGACAGCGATAAGAACAAGAGATGATATCAATTTACCGGAGAATCGGAGTCGTGGACGTCGCCAGGATAGCGGGATTGCGTAGAGGCAAGTCCTCTCCTTCCCGCGGCCGCGTCGCAGAGTCTGAACCCGCCGCCGACCGAGCCACTCTATTTTTTCCGTTTTTCTTACCCGTTTCTGTTGATTTTTCCGTTTCTTGTTCTGACTGTTCTTCCTTCGCCGGCGTCGATCACTAGGGCCCGAATGCTGGTGGGAAGTGGGCCGGTGGCCCAGTAGTTGATGGGCCTTGTGCCGTGACTAAACTCGCTTGCTGCACCCGGCCCGGTAAACCCTCTTCTTCATCGGAGGCAGGAAGGGGATTTTTTTAAAATAATACCTTTTTTTAATTAATAACTGTAAATTTAGAAGTCGTTATACAAAAATCATAAAGGAACTTGTCGGCTTCTCAGGCCTACGCCAGGGATGTAAGTAGTCCTTTCGAAATAAAAAAAGGTAACCCTTTCGAAATAAATTTATGTAAATCGATATTTTTTGGTAAAAACACCCCACAAGAATCTGCCAGCTGCAGATACGAAAACATTATTTTCTCTCCATATACGTATTATTTTCTCTCCATATACGTACATATATAACAAAAGCAACAACATATAAGATTTGCTTGTGTCTAGCTACCATTTCCAAATATTTTTTCAATTCTTCCTCCGGGTAATGCACATGCTGTGCAATATAACTGGTACACAACGTCGAGACAAACCCACTTCTTAGTCAGCATGAGCAACACAAACATTCATCAGCCAGCTCTAAACCTATCTGATCGTCAAACATTACTTACAGAGCTCACAGCTCCTACATCTACAACCGCACATTTCATCACAACTTCCATTCGACATTACTCATCCTCTTCCACCTCTACTTCTTCCTTCTCGTAGTCCGTGTCAGAACCTTCTTCGTCTCCAAAAGGATCCTCGTCGTTGCTACCATCATCCTCGTCCTCAGAAAATTCATCAGGATAATCGAAAAGCGGATTGTCTTCGGCTGCATATATTCAATATGAAAAGAGCTTCAGCTAATCCAAGTAGCTATAGATCTCACTGAGTAGTTAGAGAAACATAATGATGGTATGATTACCATTTGAATCATCTGTGTCATACGGACAATCTTCGTAGCATTCATCTTCTCCATCATCCACTTGTAACCTTATGTAACAAGACCACTCATTAAGAAGACACTCTCACATGAGCTGAATTGAATAAAACACATGTGATTTCTATTTAGTTATTCACCTTGGATATGAAGTGGCGACGTGGCCTCCATGTTTGTATCATCCACCTCCTTGACAAAGATAGATATCATAAACTTGAGAATCATAAACAAAAATTTAGACTTGTCAAACTAGTGGCGGATCTAAACTTTACTACTTGGGTGTTAATACTACTACTAGAGTTTGAAATCACTTTCTATTACAGTTAATAAAGAAAGCACCAAGAACCTTCCCAATCTTGTTGAGAGCATCTCAAGGCAAGAAGCGAAGAAGCTTCAATACCTTCCGATTGTGCCAATGAAATTATATCCGCCTCAATTTCCTCTGCAGCTTGATGGCAAGTACTCACAGAGAAGTGGAAGAAAGTTGCATAGAACAGCACCCTCTTCAAAAGAGGTAATCCTGCAGGGAATATATTGTAAGGAAACATGCAACAATGCAACTCTACATTCCAAATGACCTGATAAGTTGTCAAAAATCAAGACTTGCCGTGGTTCTTTTGGATACTTCTCATCATCGGGGTGTTGGCCCCTACAATCAAGAACCAGGTGAGCAACCTGCTCTCCTTCTCTCTCCCTCTCACCCTGACCCAAGGTAGAAGAAGAGCCTTGAGCTCTCTCCTCCCCCCACTTCCCTCTCTGCCTTCCGTTGGTGAGAAGTCTGGCTTTCAAGTTGGCAAAATGAACTGCCTTTTTTCTATTGAAATGCATACACATTTATACAAGCCTCATACCAACTATATGGTACATGAGGTGTGGCCGGGTACAGCCCCAACTACTCCTAGTACATGCTTAGATCAGCCCACTACTTGCTGATGTACTTCTACCAACTATGGCCTATTGCCATACTACAACAGTGGCAAGGACATGGACAAGCCATTGCTGACCACCGGCCACTCCTTAATCCACTGCAGGAGAGATTAGGAGGGTTGACAGCAGATTATGTCTTACAATTCTTCCCCTAATCATGCTGTCCACCCTTGATTTCCACCATGCCGATCATGCCCCTCAGCTCCATGAACCTAAGGCGTCCGAGCGACTTGGTGAGGATGTCAGCGAGCTGCCGAACGGTCTCGACGAACTCGATGACAAGCTGTCCTCCATCGACGCAATCCCTGAGGAAATGGAACTTCACGTCGATGTGCTTGCTCCTGTCGTGGAGGACGGGGTTCTTCGCCAGCGCGATGGCTGGTTTGTTGTCCACCATCAGCACTGGTGGGCGAGCCTCAACGCCGGTGAGCTCACCCAGCAGCCGGCGCAGCCACACAACTTGGCACGCCGCAGTGGCCGCTGCGATGTATTCCGCTTCGCAGGTCGACAGCGCCACCATCTTCTGCTTCAGCGACTGCCAGGCGATTGGCGCCGAACCGAGGAAGACGAGCACACCAGAGGTGCTCCGCCGCCCATCAACGTCGCCGGCCATGTCTGCATCACTGAAGGCCGTGAGCCCTGGCTCACCATCTTTGGATTTGGGCTGCGCCTCACTGAACGTCGTCAGCTGCAGCCCGCCGTTCTTGGGGAAGACAAGCCCCTGATCGATGGAGCCCTTGATGTAGCGCAACAGCCGCTTCACCGCCGTCCAATGGTCCTCCCGCGGATCCTCCATGAAGCGGCTCACATACCCAACCGCGAACGCGATGTCCGGCCGAGTATGCGTGAGCCACCTCAACCCGCTGACGATGCTCCGGTAGAGCGTCACGTCCACCTTCGCCACCGTGCTGTCCTTGGACAGCTTGATCCGCTCCTCCATTGGCGTCGCCATCGGCTTGCAGTTCGCCATTCCACCCCGCTCGAGCAGCTTTAGCGCGTAGGCGCGCTACCCCAGCGTCACTGCCTCCTTCCCCTACTTCACCTCGATGCCGAGGTAGTAGGAGAGCGCGCCCAGGTCACTCATCTTGAACCGGGCCACCATTTCCTCCTTGAACACGTCGATGTCCCGCTCCCGCGCCCCCGTGACAATCAAGTCATCGACGTACACGCCAACGATGAGCTCTTCCTTCCCCCGTCGTCGCGTGTACAGGGCGTGCTCCATGGCGCAGCATGTGAACCCAAGCTCCGCCATGGTGGCGTCGAGCTTGGCGTTCCACGCTCTTGGAGCCTGACGCAGCCCGTAGAGTGCCTTCCGGAGCCAGAGCACCTTGTGCTTTGCTCCCTTCACCGTGAAGCCTGGAGCCTGCTTGACGAAAACAGTCTCCTCTAGGTCGCCGTTCAGGAACGTCGACTTGATGTTGAGGTGATGAACCCGCCAGTCCTTGGCCGCCGCCAGCGCCAGCAGCAACCTCACGGACTCCATGCGCACGACCGGGGCGAACACCTCCTCGAAGTCAATCCCTTCGCGCTGCACGAACCCACGGGCGATGAGCCGCGCCTTGTGCTTCACCAGGCCCCGTGCTCGTCCCGCTTGACCTTGAAGACCCACTTCAAGCCAATCGGCCGGCATCCCGCCGCCGGATCGACCAGCTCCCAGGTCTGGTTCTCCTCGATCGAGCGCATCTCCTCCAGCATCGCCCTCCTCTAGCTCGCGTTGCGCTCTGCCACTGCAAATGTCGTGGGCTCCTCTGCGCTCATCAACAGCAGCTCAGGGTCGTCGTCGAGCAGTCGCGCTGCCATCCCCGGCACGTCCGCTTCCCCGATGGCGTTGTCCACCCGCCGAAATTGGAGATCCTCACCATCGTTGTATGCATCCATGAGCTCGGTGAAGTCTGATGGCGGCGATGCGTACTCCACTTCGGCCGCCGCGGGTGTCCCCTGTTCTGGCGAAACAGGGGAGTGCGGAACAGGGGACTGCTGAGGTGGTGAGCCCACGGCGACTGGACTCGGCGGCTCCTCCGCCTTCGCAGCCGCAGGCTCATGCGTCCCCGCTTCTCCTCCTTCCATCTCCGCTCCCACTTCTCCACCGCCGTGGATCACTAAGTGTTCCACGGTGAAGATGTCGCTGATGCCGTCGGCGCCTTGTTCTTCCCCTGCTCCAGGCCTGTCCCACTTCCATGCCGCCGCCTCATCGAAGACGACGTCTCAGGACACCACCACCTTCTTGCCGACCGGGTCATATAGCCAATAGGCCTTGGACCCCTCCTCGTAGCCGAGGAACACCATCTTGGTGCTCCTGTCCACCAGCTTGCCGAGACCCGGCTTGGTGGCCTTGACATGGCCGATGCAGCCGAATGTGCACAGGAACGCGACATTAGGCTTGCGCCCATGCCACGCCTCGAACGGTGTCTTCCCCTTCAGAGCCTTGGTGGGCGCGCGGTTGAGGATGAACACCGCCGTGCTCGCCGCCTCGCCCCAAAATTTCGACGGTAGCCCCTTCGCCTTCATCATGGAGCGCGCCATGCCGACGATGGTTTGGTTGCGCCGCTCCACCACCCCATTCTGCTGCAGCGAGTATGGCGCCGTGAGATGGCGCCCGACTCCCTCGTCCGTGCAGTAGGTGGTGAATTCCACCGCCGTGAACTCGCCGCCACGGTCAGTCCGAAACACCTTCAGCTTCTTCCCGGACTCTGCCTCCGCGCACGCCTTCACGTGCTTGACTGCCTCCGCCGCCTCGCCCTTGCTCGTCAGGAGCTGCAGCCACATGAATCGGCTGCAGTCATCTACGAGCAAGAGGAAGTACTTCCGGCCGCCGTGAGTCGCCGGCGTGATCGACCCGCAAAGATCCCCATGGACCAGCTCGACCGGATTCACCGCACGGTACCGCGCCGCCTTGGGAAAAGGCAGCCTCCTCTGCTTCCCGGCCAGGCAGCTGTTGCACAGCTCGCTAGCGTGCTTGATGCACGGCAGACCGGTCACCATCTTCTCCAAATGCCAGCAGGCGTCAAGCTCAGTGCCCGAACCGTCGCGCTGCGAGCCACGGCTCCTCCGTGCTCTGCGCCGCTAGGCACACTGGCTGCTCCACCTTCAAGTCCAACAGATAGAGCCGATTACGGGAACACGATACCTTCGCTAGAAGTCGCCGCTCCCTGTCCCTGATCCTGAGCTCGCCACCGCGGATCAGGACCTCACTGCCGTGCTCGTCCAACTGCCCCAAGCTGATGATGCTTGAGCGCAGCTGGGGAATGTAGTAGACATCCGTCGGCCACATGCTGTGCTCGCTGCTCCGCAAGACGGAAGACGACGGTGCCTTGGCCACGGATGGTGACTGCGCGACCGTCCCCGAACTTGACCGTCCTGGTCTTCTTCTCGTCGAGGGTGGAGAAGGCGGCTCTGCACCCCGTCATGTGGTTGCTTGCCCCGGAGTCAAGGTACCACCGGTGCTCCAGCTCGTCGCCGACCGCGCCCAAGTGGGCTTGCGCGCGTGACTCGTCAAGGTCGACAGCCAACAAGCAAGACCCTGCTCGCCTCCGCCACCTCGCTGGTCGTCCCTATAGCGCACAAGATTTCGCCCATCGCCGGCGTGTGCTCATCGTCGCTGTCCTCCCGAGCCAGGTGCGCCTCCTCCTTCTCTGGCTTCTTCTCCAGGCACTCCCGCGCCCAGTGCCCCACCTTCCCGCAATGCCGCAAGCAGCGCTGCTCGGTCGGTGTGCTCTTCTTCTTCTTCTTCTTCTTCTTCTTCTTCTTCTTCTTATCCTGCGGCGCCTTGCCGTGACGCCTGTCGCCGCGGTCACCACCGCGGCTAGAGCCTTGCCCGGTCCGCCGCCTTTCCTTCATGCGCGCGGTCCACTCCTCCTCCGTCAACAACAGCTTGCCGCCGTCCTTCTCCTTCTCCAGCGGCGCGATCGTGCGTTCCTCGACCGCACGTAGCCGCCCGGTGACGTTCTCCAGCGAGATGTTGTCGAGGTCCAACAGGGTCTCGATGGAGAGTGCCACCGAGAGTACTTGGCCAAGCACGACGACCCTTTAGAAGCTTGAGAGCGACTTCTTCTTCCTCCATCGCCTTGCCGAACGTGGCCAATTGGCTCACCATGGACTGAAGACGGAGCGCGAAATCCTCCACGCCTTCGTCGGGTCAGAACTTGAGGTCGTCGAACTCACGGCGCAGCTGCTGAATCTTCCCCTTCTTGGCCCGATCCGAGCCGACGCGGAAAGAGGCGAGCATCTCCCAGGCCGCCTTCGCCAACCCCTTCTCCCCGATCGCCTGGTGGTATTCCAACGACGTGGATGAAAGCAGTGCCTCCATGGCGCCCACCTCCGCTTCCTCGTCCGCCTTGCCGGTCTCCACAGCCTCCCAGTACCGGCGTGCTCGGAGCTTCCACTTCATGAGCACAGCCCACTCGCCATAGTTGGTGCGAGTGAGCTGCGGCCATGTCATCTCCCGCAGCGCGCGCACCTCCACCCTAGGTTGAGGAATTGGGAGCTCCTCCCTCGGCTCCTTCCCCCCAGCCGTCTCAGCACCCTTGCTGACTGAGGCATCTTCACCCCCCATCGCCGGCGGTTAAGCGCAGCGACGGTGTACGGCTCTGATACCACTTGTTGGCCCCTACAATCAAGAACCAGGTGAGCAACCTGCTCTCCTTCTCTCTCCCTCTCACCCTGACCCAAGGTAGAAGAAGAGCCTTGAGCTCTCTGCCTCCCCACTTCC